GATGTATGTGGCAAGCAATTGAAAGCGGGAAAACATGTATGCGAAAAGTAATGCAGGACGCATCAAATCCATGCCGAAGAGATTGAGCCGATACATCGCACATAAAAAGGTGGGAAGTTTATGTCCAACTGGAAATAAAATATTTGAAGTTTAATTACATATGAAGACCTGCTGAGTGAGCTGCAGGATCTGCTCCAAGTATTAATGCATATTTTTGCCAGCTGTGGCCATTTTTTCTAGCATATAATTTGTACATATATTTTACCACTTTATTCATTATAAACATTCCAATTGAATGGAATTTTTTTAGCTTATCGCTCGCTGCGTTTGCACCGCCAATGATAACGACATTTCAATCGTGCATGCAAGTGCCCCTCGAAACAAAGTGATTGGGAGTGTTTGCAATTAAAACACAAAGACAATGTATACATTAACACTGACAAATCTTTTTTCATAATTTGTTGCCCCTTTAAGCGGTTCACTCTTTCTCTGTTTTATTATTACTTCTGCCTTTGTCTTATGTCGATTTGCATGAAGGCGATGGCCATTCATCTTGTAATATCTTCGGGCTAGTACTTCATTCTTACGCTTTGTATCGTCACCTTTGGCTATAGCCCAACAGCTATACCACAAAGTATCAACGCAATAAAATTATGAAAACTTAGCGCTTGCATGTGATATAGTGCTGGGTTGATTTTAATTAATCGTTTTTTCTTTATTTTCTCGTTCATATGAGTATATATATATACTCGGTCGCTAAACGATCACATCAAGTGTAACTTATGCTCGAATATTTCACATTCGCTGAGTCGAAATTTTTAAAATGAGAAATTGCTGCCAGAAAATTGCAAAAGAAAAGCGAAAGAGACAGGAACGGCGAAGAAAAAAATGGGCAAATGCTTCCGATGAAAAAAAAAAAAAGTGGAAAAAGAGGACATTTTAATCATATGCAAATTAGACGTCACAGCTCTATATGAATTTCAGTGTAATCCGTGGCGCACACACATCTACATGCCATAGATAAATTGCAGTGACTGACATTTTTAGTAATTCATTCGAAGCACTGGCGGAATATGTAAGCTACACTCGTTTTTACTCCCCATCACCACCATCACCACCGTCGTCGTCTTCGTCGTCGTTGACGTCGCTGACAACGTTCCTCAATAAACTTGCATGTCATTATCACATAATGCACGTTCTGTCGGCTACCATACAAGTTTTCTCCTCATTGCCAGAATTTCTTTGGAATAAATCTAAAAAAAAAAACGTTTTTGTGTGATTGATTTCGGATGAATTTCCCATAAAGTGTAAAAGAAGTACATCAAATAAAGTAGAAAATCAGTGAATCAATCAGCTTTTATTGTATGTTTTTGATGGGACCATCGTTTAGCGAAAAAATAGCGGGTACTTTGAACAAGACAAAAAGAATTTTTCTAATATTATTCGATTAGAAACTGGCCAAGGATTCATTAGCAATAGTAATGTGTTTTGGATGGAAGAGAAGTTAAAATTAAAATTTTAAAGCTGACGAACTTCGAATTTATATGAAGAAAGCGACCTTTTTCGGTTTTTTTTTCAGCAATTTCTTCAAAAACATATTAAAAGGGAGAAATTCTCTTTATCAGTCCAAATTTGAATAACTAGAGTATTCACGAACTAATGAAACTCAAATTATTGGTGTCAGACAGTATTGAAATGTTTTATTCTTTCACTTACATTAATCAATCCTTGTATCCAATGTAAGTGTTTAAGTTGAAATTTGGATACATTTGTTGTATGTGTGATAGCCAGGACGCATCAGTTGAGAACAATTTTTGTGGTTCGCTTTAGCAATAAACTTAAAAATTGTTCGGAAAGTTCTCATGTTGCAACGCCTTTGTTAGTATTTAGCTCAATAACAGTGTTTTTTGCCTTTTGGCAAAAATTGTAATGTTGGATTGGCTTGAATTAGACCCGTTTAATATGTGAACTATTTGATCACGTAATGTATTAAGTGAAAGCATTTCACTTTTTTTTCTCAAACTTTCTCTCTCTCTCTCTTTCTGCATCTCACGTCAACTCTCGCCACTTTTTAAATTTTATTTTGAGAATGTGTGTTTGTGCTCATGAAAATCGTTGCGTGGCTGCAGAGAGCGAGAGAGAGAGAGAGAGCGAGAGAGTGAGTGAGAAAAAAAAATCATTTATAAAATAAACCATTTGATACGTCCCATCGAATCGAAGAAGTTTTGAAATGGCTTTTAGTCCAATGTTTTCGCATTCTTGGTTATGAATGGATATAGGAAGTAGTCATTTTTGGTAGTGTTGTTCAGAATTGTTGCCATTGCTGCCGTCACTGCATTTGATGAATGGTTTAATACACTTTCATCGAATATTCGTGTATAAATATTACAGAAACGTGCATTGAATAACGTCGTTCGTCCCGTTCTTGCATCCATATAAGTGAAATCCGAAAAACAGAGAGATGCTGTGCATGGATGCTGTATTTTTCGATGTCAACTGAATCGCATTCGTATATCTTGTTCACCATCATCGTATGGCGAACAAGTCAAAACTGAAGCCCGATCAACACAATAAGCATTTATAAATACATAGATTCGGATGTATATAATTGTTACATAGGCGCGCATATTTCGATAGATTGCGATGACAGATTTTATGTAATACATACATATCAGAACGCACATATTGGATAAAATAATATAACAAGCATATCACATTCAGCGTTGTTTGCGCGCGTGTTCTCATTTTACTCACTGGACAAACGATTGTATTAACAGCCTAATAGAAAGGATGTGCGATCACGTTTTCACTCACGCAAAGAGAGATAGACAGAGAGAAACGAGCATGAAAATATATGTATATATTTCATTTCGCTTGAAATAAATTGATCGAAAATCGTCACTACATAAGTTTCATTTTTTTATCATCGCGATATGCGTGTATTTGATTGGTCATTTTCGATATATGGCAGTTTGTTAAATTGATGGATTTCTCGAATGGCCACTTGTGAGTTATGGCTTAGCGCAAGTAATTAAAACTCTCATCATACGAGGAAAATTATGTTAAAGAAGAAACCACCAAACCATCTTTGATTGTATCTATTTTGATATGGCTATACACTTTATTGAGCACAGATGAACTTAGAACTGTTATATTAAACTTTTTTTCCTTCGTTCCCCTTCATCCTTTTCTTTTTTCATATGGTTGGATGCAATTTTGTGTATTATATCATCGCAAAATGCAGACGCACACTGAAAAAGAGCCATAGATACACATTTATTATGACCCAATTAAAAGCAGATCTACATCTTGGCATCAAGAAGGAAGGAATCAAAACAATAACAAAAATATGATGTATCAAACTGTCGAAGAGAAAAAAATATAAACTCAGCACGCATGTATCAATAAATAATGCACACCAATATTTCAATCAACTTTTATACAAATTACAAAACATTTTCAAAGGCAATTTTCAAACAGCGATATATATATATGCATGTGCAAAAACATATTTCCAGCTATTGCAGAAAAACAGCGATAAGATCATACATAAAACTCATTGAAAAGAAGAAAAATATATATTTATAATCAAATGTTTGAACGTAACGAACGAGCATTTGAAAAAAGGACACTTTTTGTGCAGTTTTATTTGATATGTAGTTTGAAAAGTTTATATCGCACGATGAGCCACCAACTCTCAAGCGGATGGTGAAGAGATTTGTTGTTTTGTCAGCGCATCATAATCGCGAGTAAAAGAACAGATTCACAGTGTGTGCTGCTCTCGGCATCTGTATGTTTTTTTTCCATCTCTTCTTTGGCGCACATTGTGTGCTTATGCTTTTTTTTTGTTGACTATCGTTTCGAATGGTAAACCATATCGTCATATCGTTTGCGACAACAATCTATATATCCGACTTATCCGACTATGTTGCGTTCCTCGCTCTACCGTTTTTGGCAATATTGCCGCCGCTATCGCCGTATTCATACACATCGTATACATGTGTGTGGATAAACAGTATTTTCAGTCGCATAAAACGCATTGAATCAAAAATGAGAGCGAAAGAGAGCCATACACGGACGAATATGGTAGAAGCATTGAGAGACAGCGTATAAAGTATTTAAATGGCAAAACAACACACACAGAAAGAGAGAGAGACAGAGACATTTTGTAACATTGTCGATGCGGCATGTGTTCTGCGCTCGCGTACATTCTTCCATTCTTTCTGTATTTCAATGTAATGCAGACATGGATGGCAACGACACTTGTGACAATATACATCTATGAATCTGCTGTTTGCATTTTTCAGTATAGAAAAAAAAAAAAAAAAAAGGAAACAGCATACTTCGCGGGATATATAATTCGATGTGAACACACAACTCTCTCCATCTTGTAATGCATTCCATTCAGCAGCGCTGATGTGCTCTTTGAAAATTAACCATTCACACAAAACAGACACATTGTTTCATTGAAACAGAATGGCAACACATCATGGACATTTGCTTACCATCACATTGACTTTGACTTTATCTTTTGTTAGCATATGAAATGTCATTGAACAAATGCAATTCTTTTATCATTTTAAATTCAATATTAATTTCTTCAAATAAAAAAATATAAAAAAATAAATCGAAAAAGGTGAAAAGTTTTGTGTGACTCTTAATGTATACTCTTTGGTATGGGTTGGCTATAGCGGAACAGCTGAAGAAATGTTTATGTGAATATGCGGCACCATTGCATATGTATGTGTGTTGCGTTATGTCGAATACGATATGTGTTTATAATGCGGCGAAGAGGTCACGTGATGGCGTTAATAGACGGCTTCAAATGTATGGAACAATAACATAACAACAACAGCATCAAGCAACAACGGTCGTTGTCTTGAATACCATCCACGCAAACGAATGCGTGTGCATGCGGTGTGTCTGGCCGCTTTTCGGTCTACAACTCGAGTTAGGTTGCTGCTTTTCGTGAAATCGTCACTTCAGATCGATGTGAAACGTCATTTTATTCACACACAACCAACAACACACTCACTAAAATCGTCAAACGTTAAAATCAAAAAGAAAATTATGATTATTGTTTATATTATTGCGATAAAACGATGTGCAAACACAATTTTTTGATCGACATCAAAGACACGTTTAAGCAATTTATGCTTCTGTGCATTTTACCATTGTAGCCGTTTGTGTTTTTTTTTCTTTGCATTTTTACCGTGGTGTAAGACAATATTGCCGATTTAATGCGATAAATTTTCAAGTGACCAAGTTATAAAAGTGAATGAAATATATTTTTTGCATTCATGTTTTTTTAAGAATCCAAAACGACACAAATTTAAAACAAACACAAAAAAAAACGAATTGTTCAATTGAAAATACGACGCGTAAAAATACCGAAACGAATTCAATATACAAATTAAATGAATTATTATGACAAAAAAAAATCATACATGTAGACATATACACATTTAAAAAACTCAAATGCCGAATAATTCGCGATATTTTTTCTCTCTCACTTTTGAATTTGAAGTAAGCAATGTTTACAATCAACTTTAATTGAATCAGATTAGAGTTTTGCGTTGTATACAGCGAGTCACAGACTCACACAAATAAAAACATTCATACGGAACGATAGTGTGTGTATGTTGTTCTATAGTTTAAAAAAATGGTTCTATGGCAAACTTGCTTTTTGCATCAGCAATTCTGCAAGTTAATAAAGAATCATTGATAAAAGAGTTCAATAAATTTGGTGCAAAAAAGACAACAAAAAATAACCGGTGAAAAAAGAAACGAACGTTGATTTGTTTGGTTCGGTTAAAATACGAGTATTTGTGTGAGATGTTGCAGTGTTAGTTTGGCGTTGAAACATAGAACAGACGAGATCTTTTTTGAATCAACAATAACACGGTGGAAACAGCTTGCAGTCATCATCAGTGGCAATTTCGCATCACATATACTATCACATAATGTTAAAAACAAGTAATTTTTTTTTCATTTTCTTTTCTCTTCAACAATTTTTTTTTCTAATTAGAAATTGTTCGTTGTTAATATCTTTTCTGCGGCCGGTTGTTTTGAGTGTGTTTTTGTTTTATTGGAATGCGTAATAGTAGTCCTATCAAAAGTTGAAAGTGAATGTTGCGTGTTTTTTGGCTTAAGAAAATTGGCAAATATTCCTTTTTTGCTTTCGATTTCGAACAAAACGCAATGAGCATTAACCAGAATAAGTACGGTACACATTTTGATGCGTTGAATGAATTCGCGATAATTTGATTGTGGCAATTTATTGTTTTCATAGTTATTTCAACGAAATAATTTGATGGGGCGGAATACTTTTCGTGTATATCTTCAATCCGATGTGAACACAATCATCATCTGATCGCTTACGTCTCCTCTCTCTCTCTCTCCCTATTTCTTTCTTTCTCACCCTGTGTATGTATGTGTGTGTGTTCATATGTGCATCCAAGCGTAAAGACTGTGAATGCTTCTATTCTCTCTTTCTATTTTATATCATTTCGCCGTTTTCGGCTCAATTGTATGTGGTAATGGCAATGCATTGTTTATCCGTTTAACCAGCACAATCGAAGAAAATGGCAAATGGAATATAGAGAAGAAGAAGAGAAAAAAAAAGTGGCGAGAAATACAGCAGCATCACTCCAAAATGCAATTAAAACGAAGTATGCGAGATAACAAAGAATCAAAGTAAAACGTTGCAAAATTCTTCGGATATGAGACTGATGAGAGAATGAGAACGAGAGAATGAGAGTGAGAAACAGAGTCACACTTCACTTCGTCGAGACACAGCGAGTTTCAAGTATCAAATAAGAATGGCATTCGATTGTCATGTATTTCACGCATATTAAAACGCGCGCGTTAGTTCTTTCGAAACTTTTGTGAATGTTTCATGTTCAATGCTTAATGAACATTCCGTATCATCATCGTTCGTCTTAAAATTTTCGCATTCGTTGTCGTTTCATGATAATGATCCACAGTTCTCATTGCAAGAGACTTCAAACCATTCGTTCAAAATTTCGTCTATATCATTACACTTCTTTTTTTCATCTTCATTCTCATCGTCAACAACACTGGTAATGCTGTTCGGCTTTTTTCGGCATTTCTAAATTTCATTTGAAATTCATTTGCTATTTTTAACACACGAAATTTATCAAGGTGAAACATTTCTCACTCGTTCACTCATCGATCTGTAACTGTGTAAGATTTATAGTGAAATTTAAATTAAGAGAATTAAGCAAAGTATGGAACGAATTTCTACATCGCTGGGCGAAAAGATGAAAAAAAGGATGACTTAACTAGGTACCAAACAATTATTTTAACACCGTGCCAGTTGCAAACATATCTTGTATGTCGACCAATCAATGTAATGGAAACCAAACTAAACAAATAAATAAAGCAACAACATGAACCGAATAACCTCGAGCGACAATATAAAAATATTCTGCATTCGTGATAAAGAGATGATACACATTAAGTGAGAGAGGACGCGAATACCTAATGAATTGTTACAATCTTCCCCTCATTCGATAAGATAAATTTATCTGGCTGTAATGCAAGTGTGTTAGCTCACGGGATGGTTTTTAATAAGCGGCCAATTCGATCGTAAATTTCACAAAATCGAAACTTTTCGAGATACGATTGGTGTCTCTATCAGCTATGGGGATAGATAATTTGCACAATGTCTCCATCCTACATACAGTGTAGATGGCTTTCGCTCTTTTTTACATTATTGTGTGTGTGTGCATCGTTGTTTACCATTCGCTATACATTTCAAGTGTCGATTGAATGTTGAAAAGAGCATGATTGCGCATTGGTGCGTTTGCACGGTTCAATGAATGAATGCGTAAAGTGCGGTAACAACGATGCCGATGATGCGAAACGAATGCGCGCCTCTTTTATGAAGACGCACGAAAAATTCAATGGAAAAACCGAATGAATAGAGAAAAAGACAATGGAATGAAATGAAACAAATCGAAATTTTCTTCCTCTCAACCAAAATGAAAAACAATATTATTTATTTTCTCACGGAATTTATTCACATTCTTTTCTTTACTCGTACACTTCGGGTGAATGATGCAGTCTATAGTTTTGTGTTATAGAAACAAAAGTGGGGGGAGATAGAGATTGATAGAGAGAGAGAGAAAATGAACATTCTATCGCCCGCAGATCCTTTTTCGCGAATACACATTACAGAAACGTTTTCCATTACCATTGTCATTTTCATTTGGCATTCGAATTGAATGGTTTCGAAATTGTATTTATTTATGCGGCTCGTTTCTCTTAGTCTCACTCTACTCGGTGTGTTTTTTTTTTCAAATTCTATTTCTCGCTTACTCTATCTATTTTCCTCTATCTCTCTGTTTCACTTGTTTCTTTACATTCATATCGCTTTCAAAAACTGACACTGACAAACACTGTGTGACAATGGTTAACAACATTTCGTTTGTGATATTGCCAGCGGACAGTGAAATGTTATATATTCGACGAAAACCGATATTCTGATTGCACACCACTATTGCGTATGAATGAAAATTCATTTAAAGGCATCGCATAAGCCGTAGAAAGCAGCTTAGCTCGGGAAAAACAATAGTCAACTCTGTCTCAATGGGATTTAGATATTCCTACACTGTTAGCCAAGCGTCTATTTCCATATTATAAATTACAATTCCATTTCATTTTTGCTCGATGAAAGAGCAAAATAACACACCCCAATATCAACACACAACATCACTTATTCGCGCGCGCAAACACATACACACACAGACGGCAATTTTGAACATGACTTTTGTTGATCGTCAATGGTATTGCTGTTACATGCTGCTATTGCTATTGTTTTTACTATTTTTGGTGCTCGAAAATCGTGAAATCTTATATCCCGTTGTGCGTGTGCAGTGTGCACACTTTCTTGTCATGAATTCAAACACGCACTCACTGTTCTCATATTGCAGTGTTTTGTGCTGAGTGGGTCGGTGGGCGGTCGGTGGTGGTAATGGTGGTGCGTGTGAGTTTTCAAAATTTTCATATAGATTCGATGTGTTGAGTATATAGTAGCCTACTACATAAAACCACTTTACAATCACACATTTCCGCTGTTGTAATCACATTTTCATCGTGAAAAGCAAAAGATAAAATTTTATGCTATAAATTTTGGCACATTCAACTCCTACCTTGGATTAATAAAACATGACAAGATTCTTTATACTACATACAACCGACATTTGGATGGAAAATTGCAAAATAGAGACATTTCAAATTCAGTTAAATGAATTTGATACTGCTGTAAAACGATAAAATATGGAACCGAATAAAAAGAATGATGCGATCGAAATAAGGAGAGAAAAAGAGACAGAAAGAGAACAAAAAGAAATTGTACGAAAAATCTCTTGAGTCAATTTTAATCTGGTAAATGCAATTTTTCATTTGTGAAAATGTGTGCCAAGAATGATTTTATGCAACAAGCACCATCGAAGGGATCGGTTTGTGTATGTGTGTTTGTCTTAGAGTAATACTTCAGCATCACACATTCGTTGCTCTTCATTTTCAAGTTGTGTTATTTTATTACTTGTGCCAAAAAAATAAAAAGAAATGAAAACCCTTAATAGCATAAGCGCTACAGCTTGTATGTGTATCTATTAGTATGTTGTTAAAATAGAAAATGCTATGCTGTGCTGTCATTGGAATAAAAGTAGAAAATTTTCACTTCTTATGCTATACGTGATATTTTTCTTAAGGGTTATTGCTCCGTTTTGCTATTTAATCAAATTTTCGGTAGCGGCACCAACATAAACATATAGAGACAAATACAGTGAGAGAATGTGAAGGAGACATTGAGCAAAATATGCGGCAAGATGAGGTGATTTTCCTATCTCATCACTACCTCATTCTTTTCATTCTGCACTATCTTCCGAGGGAAATGAATTTTTTTTTTGAAAGTGTACGATGAATGTTGTGATGTGTCAATCGAATAAATGCACACATTAACATCTTCTTCTCGTTATATATCTCATCACATCTCGTGCAAAGCATTCTAAGCAATAATTTATTTTCGTCATTCGATGTGTCTCCCATTCGATTGCTTTTCGGTATATCGTTTTATGGATGCATAAAAATAAACAATCACGAATTTCTTCTTTCGGTCTGCCCAATTTCCTGCACAAAATTTTGATGGAGTATGCACATTTTCACAGCGATGAAGATGGGGTCACATTTAATTCAACATAACACAAGAGCAATGTAAATAAAGCATCTAAATCGATTTGACGGAAGTTGAGAAGAATAGACCATTTTACAATTGGTAACCAGTTATATTTTATAATGCGAAGTGTGTGATGTGCTGCGATGACGATGATATCTCTTCCGCACATTCTCACATCATCATCATCATCATCATTATCATCATCATATGAAAGATGTTTATGGTTTCTCGTCGTTCAAATTTACACGCGTGATTCTATTATGTGATACAGTATGTGATTTATGTTCCGATTGAATATTGAATGAAGAGAATGATTGACGCATTTACATTTCAATAGATTGACAGTGATGTCAAGATAACAACTAAATATGGTTCACGTTTTCACGTTACTGCAAGCGATAGATAAAGACTATTTAAGGGAAAATGAAAATAACATTAAGGAAAATCATCAACATATAAAAGTTTATTTAACAGAACTGAACAAGTAGCTTTTTAATTGAAGCAATACCCTATTCTGATGTGAAGTATTTATTTTGTCTCACTCCCCTTTTCATTTGTGCCACACGATAACAAAAATTATGGAATTGTATTCAAGGAAAAGGACACAAATCGCAATTACAATGGCTTTTTTCTTGAACAAAAACAATTTCATGCAAATTTATATTTTTAATACTATTACGTGCTTGAATCAACACATCATCAACGTCGTATGTATCTAATGAATGATTTGTAAATATGATCAACGTACAGTAGACTGTGCAATGTGCATGAA